TAACTGCAAATAATAATAATATTATAAGATATATCTAATATTATTATTAATGATAAAAACATTTTTTTTTTAAGAAATGTATTGCAAAAATAATTACAAAAAAATAAAATAATAATGATAAAAGGCATATCTAATATTATTATTGTTAATGTAAAAATAAAAAAATAAACAGATTTTAAAAATTAGTGTGCTAAAAAAAAGAAAGAAGAATAAACAGAACTATGGCTCCAATATTTCAGTTTTGGGAAGGCGGAGTTCTATTTTTAGCGCCGTCGGCTCAGCTCCGTCCTTGGCTTCAGCTGTAGACGTTCACACGATTCTCGGAGCGCAGCGCAATCCGTCACATTTTATTTACTGTATTAGAACGCTGTGCGGACACAGTGAACCGCAGAGCTTACAATCTAGTGTCCTTAAACTACAACGGGCCAGGGGAGGAAAATGGAAATGCAGATTGTGGAGTCCAGGTAGGGACTGACGCCGAGACTGCGGAGCTCCAAGGCAAGTGTGCATACTTCTCCACTCCTGCCCATATTCAATGATAGACTTTAATACCTACAGCTATCTGTTAGCTGGACCTGGACAGTGAGAGGCCATGCTCCTGCCAGGACACATTATCTTCATAATAATATGACATCCTCTCACCTCATCCCAGGAGGCTCAAAGAAACGCCTGAACAGGTCAAATACGCTCATCTTCTCCCCCAAATGTCACCAACAGCAGCTGGAAAGTTCTCAGCAAAATACGCCACTTCCGCCAACCACCGCAAAACTGCCAACCAGCTCCCAACTTCCGCCAACCACTGCGCACCCGAGACACTTCGCCAACCTCAGTGTGCGTCTGACGTCAGTCGCTACGTCTATCAAGCAGACACGCGTCTTTTGGCGTACCGACTACGGTTTCTGATTGGCCTCAGGAGCCGAAACGTCATCAAAGCGCGCCGGAAGTGGCTCTTTGTGGTTCATGAAGAGTCTGGAAAGTTGGAAAGATGTTTTTATTATTCTTATTCTTTGTAGTAATGTTACATTTTAAACATAATGACTTATGTGAGGACTTAAAACTAAACCAGCTCTGAGAGCAGCATGGAGGCTGCAACTGTTGGCTGACCTCAAACAGGTGCAGATAATGCCTTCTTCTTCCACTGGTTCCAGGCCTGTGAGTCAAATAATGAAGCCAGAGGATAAACATAACAGCTGGACCCTTAGCATTTCCAGCAGGTGGTCAGCAGTGGCTGCTGCGTTTAGCACATGCAAATGATAACAATAGCTGACACATTATGGAGGGAATTTATCAAAACTGGAGCAGTTGCCCATGGCAACCAATTCAGTTTGTTCTGGTAAGATTTGAAAATGAGACAGAGAAGCTGATTGGTTGCAGTGCACATTGATACACCCCCCCCCTCCCCCCTATGTATCCATGCTGATTGACAACGCAGCTTATAGCAGAGCAAAGAATGTATAAAGAGGACCTGTCACAATGCAAATCTAGTTTAAAAAAGAAAATGGCGATTGCCAGGCTTCCTAGAGATCATGTAAGTCTCCTCTGCATCAAAGCTTCTAGCTGCCTCATCCTGTACACAGACTCCTTCACAGAGCTCAAGTTCAAAATAATATTTCATCATTGCTGTTTAACTTTTTATTTCCTTTTACGTGCTTAAAAATCCTCTCCCATGTAATGCGAAGGTAAGATGTGTTTACAATAATTAACCCTCTCTGTGCTGTGCCGGCAATCGATCTCCAATCACAGAGCCACTTTCCCGGACCCGCACCGGGCATAGCGGACTTCAGGATCGGCGGCTGCGGAGGGGAGGGGGGCGCACACCCACATGCAAAATACAAGCCATCTGGCGGTTCTACAGCCACCGGAACGCTCGTATTCAAAACAGCCATGACACTGGAATGTTCCTCTGTGTCCTCGCGTCTGTGCACTGGGGGGAATTTATCAAAACTGGAGCAGCTGTGCACGACAACCAATCAGCTTCTCTCTCTCATTTTCAAATATTACCTGAGCAAACTGAAAACAGATGCTGATTGGTTGCCATGGGCAACTGCTCCGCATTCTGCCTGCTACCGTCTTGATAAATTCCCTTCACTGTTTTTTTTCTGGAGTTCTTCTTTAAAACAAAGCAAGCATACTCACTTGATCCTCGGTCCCGCCTGGTTGTTAGACCGCTCCCCGCAGCCTCTTCTCCTCTGGGCTCTGGCAGTCTAAGTACAGCTGACATACAGGTGCATTGACTTACATTGGACGTCGAGGGACATTCCACAGCCGGAGAAGAGTGGGAAGAGAGAGTCGAGTAGTGGCCGCTGCAGGATCGGGTGAGTACGCCTGCTTTATTTTAGACCCTAGACAAAAATGAGCCCTTTACCCTTGCAGTGCGGGGGAGGGGGGGTAGCCCCACTGTAAGGGTTCATTTTTTTTTTTAAATCATGAAGTTCCTCTTTAAATGAACCCCTTTTAAGATCTCTTGTTCTCTTCTATGCTGTCATCAGCCCCGCCCCCTCCCCTTCTCCCCTTTTCACTTTTGTTTTCCCCTATAGTACAGCCAAACAGTAACCCCGCCCCCTTCTCAGTGGGACTTCATGTTCCTCTCCCCGGCTCCATAAAAACCTTTTAAACCCGGGGTAGCCAAGCTCCGGCCCTCCAGCTGTGGTGAAACTACAAATCCCATGATGCATCTCTCTCCGGAAGTCATGTCTGTGGCTGTGAGAATCTTGCAATGCCTCATGGGATTTGTAGTTCCACCGCAGCCGGAGGGCCGGAGTTCGGCTACCCTTGTTTTAAACCATTAGCCAGGGCAGCCGAGGTCTCTATCTCACTGAAGGGACTGCTCACGGCTTTTTCTACATATACATATTTGGGAGTGGCGGCCACCAGCCATTTCCACTTTTGGAACACGTTATAGAACCTCCACCCCGGGGGGAGGCAACCTCGACATTACAGTTGTGGGACTACAAGTACCATGTTGGGGTTAGCATTAGGGTTGGAGATTGGTTACAAGTTAGTGTGAGGGTTAGCGTTAGAGCAGGTGTAGCCAACCTCGGCCCTCCAGCTGGAACTACAAGTCCCATGAGGCATTGCAGGACTCAGACATTGCATTGACAGCCACAGAAGCATGGTGGCGTTTGTAGTTTCTGCACAGCCAAAGTTGCCTACCCCTGCACTATCCCTTTGTCCCCCTGCATGTACACAGAGACACAAGGCCGGGCTCCTAATCCAGAGTCCATTAGAGATTCGAGTTCCGACGGAGGGAGCAGCCACAAGTGTATATTCCCCATCACTTCTCAGTATGGAATCCTGCGGGGGGTGCAGAACCACACATGTTCCTTTTTGGATTGGGCTGCAGAACCTCACATGGCCCTCCAGGGGGAGCTGCAGAACCTCACATGGCCCTCCAGGGGGAGCTGCAGAACCTCACCTGGGCCTTTTGGAGGGGGCTGCAGAACCTCACATGAGGCTCCAGGGGGAGCTGCAGAACCTCACATGAGGCTCCAGGGGGAGCTGCAGAACCTCACATGAGGCTCCAGGGGGAGCTGCAGAACCTCACATGAGCCTTCAGAGGGTGCTGCAGAACCTCACATGAGCCTTCAGGGGGAGCTGCAGAACCTCACATGAGCTTTGAGTGGGGCTGCAGAACCTCACATGATCCTTCAGGGGGAGCTGCAGGACCTCACATGAGCCTTCAGGGGGGGCTGCAGAACCTCACATGAGCCTTCAGGGGGAGCTGCAGAACCTCACATGAGCCTTGAGTGGGGCTGCAGAACCTCACATGAGCCTTGAGTGGGGCTGCAGAACCTCACATGACCCTTCAGGGGGAGCTGCAGAACCTCACTTGAGCCTGCAGAGGGGGCTGCAGAACCTCACATGAGCCTTCAGGGGGAGCTGCAGAACCTCACATGATCCTTCAGGGGGAGCTGCAGGACCTCACATGAGCCTTCAGGGGGAGCTGCAGAACCTCACATGACCCTTCAGGGGGAGCTGCAGGACCTCACTTGAGCCTGCAGAGGGGGCTGCAGAACCTCACATGACCCTTCAGGGGGAGCTGCAGAACCTCACTTGAGCCTGCAGAGGGGGCTGCAGAACCTCACATGGGCGTCCAGGGGTGGCTGCAGAACCAAAAATACCTCCTGCGAGGTGATGAGTGGTCACAGCCGGGGGCTCCTTTAAGACAGAATTGTTCTGGGGGCGGGGCTTGGTCAGGTGGGGATCCGCCCCTTTTGCAGAGGATACAATGTTTTCCAGTTTGTTTTAAAAAAAATATTTTATGTCGCTTCCATTTCCTGTGAAGAAAACTCAGATCGTCAGCGCGCTCTTATCAACGCAAATTCTTCTTTTTGGTTCGACCCCGAAATCCCCCCGACCTCCGATCCTTTTCCAAATACAGGGGGAGCTTTTCTCAGGATGTCGCCATCAACTTATACCACCTGCCTCTGTGGACTGATGGACTATGTGTACTAGGACTACCTCCCAGCAAACTCGGACCTTTGCTAGAACCCTGATTCAGGGTAACCCTACGCAGCTCCTTTCAGGCAAAGGGACACCAAGCGTGTGCTGGGAGGAGGAGGGGACTCAGGAGACTGTCCATGCAAGACCTTCAACACTGTGGCTTGCACATGAGGCAGGACTTGGTGGAGACCAAGGGGCACACTTCAAGGAGGAATCCAGGCACTCCATCTTTGTTCCCAGGTGGAGAGCTTGGAGAAAGGTGAGAAATACAACTTCTTTTTTAGGAAACTGCACTTAGGCCACACCCCCTGTATGAACTGCCTCACAAGACCGGACCAATCAGGACGGGGAAGGAGTCTGTTGCGGAAGTGGTCTGGGACTACTACCACTACCTCTACTCCTTGAAGGAACTGCGGCCTACAGGTTCTGGTCAGGTATCAGCAACACTTTGATTGGCCACCAACTCTCCCTTGACCTTGGAGGAGCTGCCCTCTGCCATCAGATCCTTTAAGATGGGTAGGGCCCCGAGCTGCGACGGTCTCCAAGCAGAGCTCGATGTAGCGATGTGGGACCTTGTCAGCCTGGACCTGCTAGAGGGACAACTCGCTCCGCCCATTTGTTTTCATTACATGACAGCTCTCTGTCCTCAAATGGCATGTAAACAAATGGGCGGAGTGAGTCCAGTGACATCACGACTCGCTCCGCCTATTTGTTTACATTCAGGGCCAGACTTATCATTTTGAGGCGGGGTCGGTGGCCAGCGGGACTGTTTTGTTGTTTTTATTCTGCAAGTCGGCAGCCATCGTGATTTAGGGGGATCTACATTGCCGGATGATGTAATTGACCTTTGGATTACATCGATGGAAACCTTTTTGTTTAACTAATAAAGGAATTGTCAAAAACTGTGTTTTTGTTTTCTGTTCTAATAAAGGACTTTGTATACGGCGTGGTGTGTTTATTTACTATTTGGGGAATGAGTCGGGGTAACAACGACCCTTTACTCATTCACTAGGGGGGCTGCATCTGTGTGCCCTCTTTATGAAAGGGAGCACCCAGATCCAGATAAGCCCCCCTGCCAGCAGACCCCCCCCCCCACAACCAGGGCCAGGTTGTGGGGAAGAGGCCCTTGTCTTTGGGCGGGGGCTGGATCTGGGTGTCCCTTTTATGTAAGGGAGCACCCAGATGCAGATAAGCCCCCCTGCCCGCAGATCCCCCACAACCAGGGCCAGGTTGCGGGGAAGAGGCCCTTGTCCTCAGTAACATGGAGACAAGGTGCTTTTCCAGGGGGTCCCCTCCAATGGCGAGGGTATGTGGCCT